CATATGCTTACAAGACGCATCGTGGATAGTACTCTGGAAGCCCCCGATTTATCTGCCTCAGTCGCGCCCAGCCAGCGCTCAGCATGGTCGTCTCGGCCCTGAGTATAGATGTAGGTCGGGGGTCTTCCAACCAGCTATTACTGGCAAGTATATTGACGATTCAGCCTCTCCTTTGACTAATACCGCTCATGTCCATGCATCCATCCTACCAACCGACTTTTTCTTGGCTCCAGCATCGAATGATTACGACGTGATTATGCTAACGGAAACATGGCTCCGCAGCAGTTCCGAATTGGCTCCGAATTACAACATTTACCACTGTGATCGCAGTCACGCTACCAGCCATTTTCAACGAGGCGGAGGAGTTCTAATTGCAGTGAAATCCTCTTTACAAAGTTTTCCCGTTCGACTTGATGGATACGGGTCACTTGAGCAGGTTGCTGTGAAGGTGTCGCTTGTAGAGCAATCAGTCTTCGTGTGCGGTATCTATCTGATACCTAATAGCGAACCCGAACGCTACATTCGGCATTCCGAAGCTGCCTTACAGATTTTGAATTCCGCTGCTGTATGTGTGATACTGTTGTGGTTGTTGGCGACTATAACCTTCCCCACTTGTCATGGTATTTCGACGAAGATATCAGGGGTTACTTGCACACCAATGCTTCCTCTGAGCAAGAGCTTGCGTTTACTGAGAGCTTGGTGGCCAGCGGACTTCAACAAATCTGTGACATCCGTAACGTCAACGGAATATTGCTAGACTTGGCCTTCGTGAACAACGGTAGCAGCGTGGGACTGATTGAAGCACCTTCAACCATCTTAAAACCTGATCGCCATCATAATCCGTTCGTCGTACGATTAGACATACGTCGATTTGATGATCACCGTTCATCAACAGCCACCGAACGGGACTTTGATTTCAACCGTTGAGCTTACAAAGCTGTTTGTGTCGAATTAAGCTCCAAAAACTGGGAACATCTGTTCAACGGAGCCAATGATAATCTAGTGGTCACAGATTTTTACAACGGGATGGATACCCCTCACCATCCCTCTCCAACGAGGGAGTTTGGTAAAGAGAGATGATCAAACCGATTTGTACTTTCATAAAAGTTATCCTTGCTCGGATTCTACTTTCTATATACAATTTTCACACTGCCGTACTCTAACGGAACTATCAACTCTATACTTTCATCCATCTCCTCATCTATCGTATAAAAATTATCACTCTAGTCTGTTATTTGAAATTAGCATCTTCAACTACCTGAAAAATGTTGGGAGATTTATGGAAGCTACGAAAATTTCAGGAAAATTTTGAGACCTTTAGATTTATTTTATTAATTTCAGATGAAATGGAGGAGCTTTAAAAATTTTCCAAGAACAATGTCAATAACACTTCATAGAATTTGAGAGTCCTCTGAACGTCAGAAAAATTGCGAAAACTTCAATGAAGTTCCAAGAACTTCAGAATTTTTTTGAAACACTAGGGGAAATGACGGCTTCGGCATGCCAGACTATTTTCGGCAACCCAAATTGAAACACTATTTTCACTGGATTTTCTTACAAAAACACTTCGCTGAATGCATTCAAACGATTCTTTATGCTTTCAGCTTCAATTTGAGTATACTTTTACCACTGAGAAAAAGCAATCTAGCAAGGTTTTCTTGAAATGAAACACACGCACTACAAATTGTAACTGGTCATGGAAGTTCCGAGAATTTTAGTTTAATTTCGAGAACTTAAGGGAAGTTCCGTGAAATTCAAGAAAATAGCGACAATTTTCAAAAAGTTCCAAAAGATAACGATAGTCCAGAGAACTTAAGGTAAGTTTAGTGAAATTCAAGGAAATGCAGAAAACGTTTTGATGCTTAGAGATCTTTAGGGTAGTTGAGCAGTTTGTCTGGATTGACGAAAAAATTAATGTTTGAAACAACATTCTCTGATTTGTATGCGTGATTTGCGTAATTGTATGTTATGGGCAATGGTTTTCAATTTTGCAAAAATTTGATCATTTTGGATCTTGTAAAATTTTAAAAATGGAGTCCTTGAAATTTTTCAAAAAATTGTAGCACGAAAACGTCATTTCTGGTGGAAATGACGAATGAGACAAAATTGTAGAGAAAATGTCTGACTGAGGAAAACTATAAAACATATGTTTTATTTATCTCAGGAAAAAAATAAAAATTGTAAAAATTAAAAGAAGATTTTTAGATATTCTTGCCCGATTTGTGAATTAAAATAAAAACATGTTATGAAAAATGCAAACTTCTGCAATGTTTAACATAATGCCATTATTTTCTGAGTATGAACAGCTTGAAAAAACTTTTCCATAAAAAGTTAAAAAATTGACTAAAAGTTCTTGTTTGACGATTTTTGTAAATTTTCAAAAGGCCTGAATATAAAACATTTCAAAAGTTTGCATTTTCAGAAGCTTTTTAAAATAAAAATTTTAAAAATTGGGCGCGAACATTGTAGAATATTTTAGAATTGAACTTTTTTTTTTTAATTTTTGACCAAAATAAAAAAATATTGTTGACCTTTTTCCAAGAAAAATATAATTTTCCTTTAAATCTTTGTTACAGAATTTCGATTAGAAATGCCGTTACCGTGCTACCATTTTTTGATGAATTTACAAAACGCCGTTTTGAAAATTTTCCAACACCCAAAATGGGCGAATTTTAGCAACAACGTAAATCATTGCCCATGAGAAACAATTATGCAATGTTCCATGCAAATCGGAGACGGTCGAGTTTTTTCGAATCATCATTTGGTGTGGAACTGCTCAGATTCATTAATTACAGGAACATCATCATGAAACGAAATGAAATACCAGCGAAGTTTCATAAACAAACTGATGGATAAATTATGGAGCGTTCCGAGAACTTTTCAAAATTTCGGGCACTTCAGGGAAGCTTCAAGAACTTTAAGACTGGTAAAAGGAAACTGCAGGAGTTTTGTAGATGTTTAAAGAATTCCAAGGATACCAAGAGAACTTCTGGAATGTCAAGAAAACTTCAGATAAATACAGGGAACTTGACGAAAATTGGAGAAACTTTTGAGAAGTTCCAAGATCCTCAGATATGTTAGGTCTGGAGATCTTCAGAGATTTTAGTAGCATACCAAAGAAATGCAGAAAAGTTAAACAATATGTAAAGGTTAGTTTCGATAAATGCAGGTCAGCTTCATGAACTTCAGGAAATTTCGAGAAATTTAAAGAAGTTTCGGAAATTTCAAGGAAGTCCACAGAATTCCTGAGGAATTCAGGAAAGGAAAGAATTCCTGAGATTTTCAGGAAAGTTCTATTTATTTCAGGGTAATACCAAGAACTTCCGGAAAATTGTGAGTATGAAGAAACTAGCTTTAGAACATCCGAGATCCGAGAAGATGTAACATGTAACAAAATTATGAAAGATTTTGAACAATAATTACTCAGCTGCACCTGGACCAATTTCAATAGTTTTAACACCAATCGATCAGAAATATTTCTACGCATCGTTCATATTTAAGACTCCATCATTTTTCAAACTGTCACTTTTGAAATTTGCACGAATGCAACTGTTGCTATGAATAATAATATTATCACCAATTGCCTGCGAAACGCGATTTTTCTAGCACAGATTTCAAAGTTGAATTAAATCCGGTCTCGGTGTTTATTCAATCACCGTCACACAACGAAACGCTCCCCGCAAGCAGCTAGCTGTCAAGGATGGCTTTAACCGCTGATCGGAACCAGTTCCAATCCCCGTGTGTGGTGGTGTCCGGTTGTCGACATCAGTGCTTTCGGCGCATGTTGTTGAACATTGTTCTCCAGTACACAACCAACGGCTGCCCGCAAGCAGCGAGCTGCAGCCCACATGAGCATCTATAGAAGGAGGAAGAAGCCACACCGCTATTGATCGGAATCAGTAACTCTTCGTGAGTCGCTGTGGGTCATCTATGCCAAGCGCGTCACCCTCATTCCAAACAACATACAGCTCACCAGCCTCATCTATGTTTAACACCGTAATAGCTCAGCATTATTCAACCATCACGACAAAATGGTCCTTCTCAGGACTACCATAAATTTGTAAAATAATATGATTTGGACATTTGTCAAGGTCATCAATCAGATGTCAGTTCCCATATTAAGATAGAGCAGGAATTAGAGCGTAACAGCTTTTGTAAACAATGACTTCTTTCGATGATGTCTTGAAACTCAAGGCTCACCCACGCAAATCAACATCACCATCAGGTAGGGTAATACGTCCCCTTCCCGACGGTAATGTTGGTTTGTGTGGGTGTGCCTTGAATTATTAAAAATCATTGAGAAAATTCATTGTTTACAAAAGCTGTTACGCCTAATTCCAGCTCTAACTAGAAATGTTTAAATCTAACATACCATGTACTTTAAGGCAACATTGGGGGTGCAATTTCAAAAACCAAAGTCGGTCGCGGCATGAAAGTGGTCTGATTTTGATCCAGAAATGATGGATTTTAATTCTTAGTACACCAATCGACATTTATTTTTTCCGCGAATCTGTTATAATTAAGACTTTATCATTTTTCAAAATGTCAGTATTGAAAATTGCACGAATGTGCAACTGTTGCTGTGATAATTAATATTATCACCGATTGCTTGCAAAAAGCGATTGCCCTAGCACAGATTTCAAAGTTGAATTCGATCCGGTCTCACCAAACGGTGTTTATTCAATCACCACGTGGTGAGTGTGGTGTTCTCCAGTACATAATGAAAGGCTGCCTGCAAGCAGCGAGCTGCGGCCCACATGAGGCCGTCTATGTCAAGCACATCATACTAAAGAGTATAAACAGAGAGAACTCCGCTCAAATTCCTATTCCTAAACAGAACACAAGCTCCTGCTGCAGTTAAAAAATAAGATTGATTATATAAAACCACGTAGTAGTACGTCACCATTTCTGTCACTTGTAGTTTTTTGATCAATCGAGACTACAAAAAGTGGTGTAATTTTAGTATATGTCCAGTCGAAGCTAGGACTTCAAAAAGTGGTCCGAATTCAATGAATTACCTCGAAAGCCGGTCCCGGAGGCCCGATGAAAGAAGTCAATTTCTAATATCTAAGCCATCAAATGCACGTTTGTCACAAAATGACCAGGAACTGGATTTAGCATGTTTGTTTTCAGTTGAAATCAAGAACTGGCCACTTTTTTCCGAAGCTTCCGGGACCTGTTTCTGGGCAATCAGCTGAGCACATTCCAATTGAATCATTTAAATTAAATGTTCCATATCCTGAAAATCAATCGAACAGTTTGTCATCACACTCCTTCAAACGCATTAAAACACCGCTTAAAACCGATTCAACCGTAAGCTACCATACCTTCGATCACTACCATACTTTCTTCTATTCGGGGTGTCTACATTCTTATCACGTCCTAAATATGTACAATTTATTCTATGTTCCATCAGTAACAAAATATACATCACACTAACCCTTCCTTACCGCATATGCCGCACGCCCATGTGCCTCGTCCTCCGCAGACTGTGCCGCCGGCCGCACAGTATCCGCTTGAACGCGTGCCGGAACTCCGGACTGAAGATGGTGTAGATGATCGGGTTCAGCGTCGAGTTGAAGTAGCCCAACCACAGGCACACACTCATCGCGAACGGGCTGATGTCGCAATCGGTGCACGTTGGCAGTAGGATGGCAATGATGAAGAACGGCAGCCAGCAGCAGACGAAGGCCCCGGTGATGATGGCCAGCGTCTTCGCTGCCTTCCGTTCCCGCTTGGAATCCGTCGCCGATTGGTTCTTCTTCTTCATGATCGACGGTTTGGCCGACGAACTGGACGCGCACTGCGAGGGATACGCCGTGGAATAGTCCGCCGTCGGTAGATCCGCCTCGATGCGGTCCCGGTCGACCCCATTGCCGAGGCTGCCCTTCTCCGGGCTGGTGTTGGCCGACGACACGTTCGTGAAGGCCGTCGTCGTTTCGCTGATCGTGGGCAGGGGCCGCCCGATGACGGCCACGACGGCGGCCGCGATGCCTCCGGAACCGCCGACCACGTTCGCCGTTGGGCCGATCGTGTTGTTCTGCTGCGATGCCGTTACCTTCCAGCGGAAACCAATCGATGTTAGTGCCATACATGAAGCTTTTGCCAAGGGTTCAGGATGGGTCTGAGCAGCCTAATGGGGCACGTATACAATATATACGCACTGATAAAGTGGGATGTTCACAGGTGGAGGCTTGTTTTGCTTGTGTGGAGGCGTGTGTGTGAGTGAGACAGAGAGAGAGAGAGAGAAAGAGAAATAGAAGAGAGGATGGGGGGTTTCTTTTTGGGAAGAGCGAGAAAGTGAGTGAGCAAGCAGGTGGCTACGTCAATACACTGGTTGAGGTGTTGCGTTGGATCCTGGGGGACGGGGTGTCTTTTTGTGTGTAAGGAGTTGAAAGAGGTGAAATAGATTTTTTTTCGTGAGGAGTAAAGCAGATACCAGGGAAGCAGTTGGAAGCGATATACAGCATAATACACAGGAAATGTCATGCAACAAAACACTAAACTACTTACTCATGCAGTGCACATTCAAACTACTAAAGATCATGTCAAAGTATATATTATATGATTGAATTGATACCAGTTCTGAGAGTTGCAATGTAATTATGTTTCAATCTTTCAACCTTGTTGAGTTTCTAGTTGTTTCGAGTTAAACACCTAAGTAACGCAACTTCATGAAACTGTGTTGATTTAACTTCTCTACGGCCAAAACCGTATATAAATTGATAAACAACTTGTGTGTCGCTTGAGCAGCCTTCGTTTCAGGATATTTGTTACGGTTGTAAATTTAGAGCAATACATTATTTACATACTGGGAAATTGCCGTACAAGCTCTACACAGATGTCGCCCCCGCATTCATAGAAAATTCATGAAATTGAGCATTAAACATAAACCTACAAAACATTCTGCCAAATCAATTTCGAATTGTGTAGAAAAACGTCACTTCAATCAGACTGATGCCAAATATATCATATTAACAATATGATCCATTCATGCCTTTTCCAAATATTGCAATGGCGACCCGCAAAATGTTGCTTAACGCACCATCTAGCGTTGAAAAAGGTCAGCAACAATCATTGAATTACAATCGAGGGGTGCGAGTATAGCACTTATTACAAAAGTAAGAGTCACATTATTTTCATTAATTACATTGTGTTTATTACTTTAAAATTTGTCTGACATGTCACTGTGGGCACCAAATAAAATAATATGCTGAAATACATTCATTTGAAATATTAAACAAATTTTCATTTGGTGTACCCCTCGTGACAATAAACAAATACATTGGTAGCCTTTTTGGCCACAGAGGTGCTTTCATCGCTAAAAATTTGGTTCGCTAAGCGAAAGAGTGGATCATATTGTAAATATAATATATTTGCTGATGCACATCTTTGAAATGTCCAACTAATTCTCATACGAAATATTCATTTCATTTCACGACACCGTCAAAAACGATGTAAACAAAAGTAATTTCCTAAAATTGCTCTAATTAAAGATGCTTTGCTACTATGGTATAACAGTGAAATCCATCTAGAATGCCTATTGATTAATTGAAGTTCAGTTGTATTTTCCATCAAAATTTGTGAATAGCCACATGTTTGCCGAAAAAGGATTATTATGAACTATAATTGAATAATACCGTCCAATACAACCATTTCTGCAACATCACCAGCATGATAAAAGCGTTTCTTAGGGAATTCACTAGATTTCCACTTTCATCTCAGTGTAGATCACACACAGCAAAAAAATAATTTTGATATCACATCAAAGTGGATGCACTACAATCATGTCGAAAATTTCATGTAATTTTTATGACCACATAAATAAACAAATGCAGTAAAAGCAGCGTAATGTCAGTTCATGCATTGTATTAATGATAATTTTGTCCTTTTTAGCAAGTAATATTACACCATATTTTCGACATGATTGTAGTGCATCCACTTTGACGTGATATCAAAATTATTTTTTTTGCTGTGCACATTTTCACCATTTTCAGAAAAATTAAGCTAGATAGGAGGTAATCTTTCTAAGTGAGTGCAAAATTTACCACACACATAGAAATACCTAATTTTACACGTGATGGAATCAATATTTGACATAAAGGATGAGACGTAAACGAACATGCCATGTAAAATTAAGAGCTCCGGGACTGAAAATTTCGTTATTCGACGAAAAGTACGTTTGATTGAGCTGAAATTCACGTCTATTATGGCTCATTTTTATGTTAAAATTGACGCTCGTATATGTCAGTCTCAGAACACCTAAATTTACATGAATTTTACTTAGTGTGCATTTTGTCAAGCATCTGCATTAATTTCCCATCAGATGTCACTTCTGTTGTTTGCAGCTACATCTATCGGAAACTTCGCATAATCTGTTTTCTGTTAATTGTTCACAGTGCAGTGCAAAACATGTCTGGTACCTCTATAAATGCATTTAGATTAACATCCGAAGTTCCTTCTTTTTTGCATATTCTGCTCAAAAAATTACATCCGAAGTCCCTCCTTTTTTACATATTTTGCACAGAAAAATACTTCTTAGTCCCGTCCCTAACAGGAGTTCTCACCATCTTTTTATGAATGGGGCGGGGCAGAAGTACCTTTTGTGCAAAACATGTGAAAAAAGGGGGATTTCGAATCTTAATCTAAATGCATATATAGAAGTATCAGACATGTTTCGGAGTGTCAGGTACTCTATTTTGTAATCTGTGAGTGGGAAATCACAATCGAGCGTCATCAAAATACTCATATAGACCGGGGACAAGCGGCTTTACTTCCCGTGATCAGAGATTTTATGCCTCAGAAAACCCCGGCGATGCCGACTGGGATTGAACCCAGGCCTTTTGGGGTGACAGGCAATCACGCTTACCACTATACAACCGGCGTCCCTTAGAGTAAAACGGTTAAAAAATGTATGGAAAAACTTTTTCATTCAATTTTAATTTGTTCAACACTAATTTCCTGGAAAAATGTGTTCGGCAAAGCTCATGAATGATTTTTCGGCCTGAATATGCCTTAAAAGCGATTTTTTTTTTAATTTTTCAAATTGTGGATTTTTATTACTTATTACCAAGCGATCAACGAGCCGAATGATAAAGCTATGTCGGAAATAGAAAGTAATAATGATATAATCTTCATTTTTCTTCATGACAAACAATTTCTACAAAACAGCTCGCTCGTGACGGTAGAAGGAAACGACCAAATTGTTGGTAAGCCGAAGATGATACACGTGTGTTAATGGATTTTTTTTTGTCATGTCTTCTCTCGATTGCGAACAACCAACACAATTTGTCGTAAACGGGTTTACATAGCTTATTTATGACAATATTAGCGGTTAATATTTACGTCTAGTCATTTATATACAACTTATTTATACCGAAAATGCTTGACTTGCGCAACTACTGTATTGGACATGTTGTAAATTAATTTCATCCTTCCTACGAATGGAATTTGTTTATCATCAATTTACACAACTTATTCTTCTGAGGAATTTTATCGTGCGAATAAAGTGCCTAAACTTAGATTCCGTACTGCAAACATTTATGCGGTTTAAATTTATGGTAAATCTTTACATTCTACTTCAAAAAAATTCATTGGCTTTTAGAAAAGCTCAATATAATAAATTGAATTGCTTAAAAAATCCTAGATAAAATTCCCCAACTTTGCAAAAAAACAAAAACAAATAGAATGTCAACTTTCTTTTTTAATTATCTTACTTTTCTCTTTTACAAAACGTACATGTTATGTTGAAAGCACAAATTAAATGTTTTTTTCATTCTATACATTGCTTCATTGGTCAGCCATATTGTAGTGGAGTTTGTAGAATGCATTGTAAAACAAAAACAAGAACATCACTTGTATCGTATATTGAAGTTATTATTATTTATGGCAACTCTCAATTGCCTATTTATAACACTTTTATAACTGATTGTTTTTGATGAAAACTTGCTAGCCTTATATACAACATGTTTTCATAAGTAATTTTTGGAAACATGAGTACAACTGGAATTTAACTTATTAATAACATGTTATCAATAAGTTATATTTCAGATGTATTCATGTTCCTAATAATGACCTATGAAAACATGTTGTACAAAAAGCTGGCCAGTTTTCACCAAATACAATCAGTTATAAATGTGTTATAAACTGGTAATTGAGACATGCAGTATCGAATTATAACTTCAAGAACTTGAATACTTCACAAAAATCAATACAACGCGTCTAAAACAAGATGTTTTAAAGGCAATTAATATATCACTTCTTTACAACTGGATTTTTTTTTCATTTTTCATGCAAGATGTTGCAAGTGTTACTTGGGAACCATGTATTGCAACAAAGTAGGCAAGCAATATATCATTATCCTTCTTCCACTCCTCCGATCAAGCTGTGTTGCAGAGATAGTTTGTCGTGGTAGTCGTAGCAAGCGTTTTGTCTGTATCGTTGGTTGCTTTATGTGTTTGGATGCTGATTACTACCAATACAACAGCGCCATCTGTGTGAAAAATAGCCTTGACTTAATGGTTCATTGTAATGCATAATTTGCCTTGAAAACATCACTGATTCACACCGTTAAAAAAACAGTATTCTTACGCGATTCAAGCAACAGTTTTGCGTTATTGAGCGATATTCCCCAAAAATCACCTGTTGCCAGTGGAGAATTTTGCAACGATCATCCATATAATAGTTCTCACTCTGAAATGAAGGTGGTGAAAGCTAGCAGATTGTTATATTCAAAGCCGACATTTTTTTTAAATAATAACCCAAAGCTTGCACCACCGCTACCACGTCGTATGTCGCCTCACATCTCAGCCCATCATTGAACGCACTTTCAACACATACACTGCCACTAATCGCATAACAGTCTCATGTAGATTGGAATTTCATAGGACATAGGACTGTTATGCGAATACCGACAGTACACACCTTGCGGGTAAAGCCCAGTGATGCCACATATACAGATTTATCCGTAATCATACACATTTATATATATAAAGATTGCAGATTTTTGAAAAATTTACAGATTTTTAAGTTTTCAAATAAAGGGAATATATTTTGTTTTGCTTTTTTTTTAATATGTATTAATTCCGAGAA